GATAGGCATGGGTGCGACATTGGAATCTGGCCGGTTTTTAGTATATCCACGAAGAGCATTGAAAGGGGGCATGGCGTTTAGGAAATGGGCAAAGGAACGGAGGGGACTGAGAAGGGTCTTGCGTCCCTACCATCGGATTTAGCCGATGTTTCTCCGGCCTACCTCAATTCACACGATCCTCACTTGTTAGCTGGTGTTTGAAAGCACGATCACTTGAGACTATCTCTCTCTACCACAAATATTCGGCATGACCAAGTATGCGCCTTGCCGACACCCGTCGCATTTGTCTTGGGTATAGCATTTTTGGTGATCAATCACCATTTCCCTTATGGAGGGACGTCACCAAATAACTTTCGCGCCATGGACAACATTAAGGTGAGAGCGCGTCTGTTTTTCATCTCTACTTTGAACTCCTGCAACGTGATATGTCTGCACTTTCACATTGCGGATCCAGTCAAATCATTAAGACTAGAACCTCGGACTACTGTGCACAATTCGTTATGGAGTCTTTCATGCTTGACCTTCTTGGGTGAGGCGAAGCGCCCCTGAGACGCTCTGAGATCGATTTCTCACTGCTCTTTTGCTCTTGACGCAGGAACTAGGCCAGACGCATTTGCTCCTTCCACGGCGCACATGTTCGAAAGAAACATCGCCGAATTAATTGAGAGTTGGCAACTCAAATCAGCCTGTGAGCCACGCTATATACATCAGATTGACCTTACCATGGCTGCCTCCCTTGAAGCGTTCAGCGCATGTAGACATTGAAGAGGCTGTCTTTGAGATTGCAGCACTCAACAGCATGGAATGACTTTTGATACCGAAGTTAACAATCTGAGATGCCAAAGGCTAACGATGGCCGACGCCCACTAGGTACCCCAGCTGAACACCATCACCCTGCGGTCCCGTCCGCTGACGACCCACGCCATCTCCATCTCCTGCGATGCCGAACTCGCTGTGGCCGCCGATGATTCGGTGCACATAATGCTCCCTGAGTTCCCGACCCCGGAGGACGATACCCGCCGCGGGAACCGTGATGTCGGCGCCGACGAGAACAAGCGCATTCAGTACCACACTCACCGCGGCCAGTACATGACCATCAAGCGCCCCGATCCGCGCATGAACGCCAAGCTGTTCGACGCTGCCGGTTTGAGGTGCCCGGGTAACGACATGGAAGAGGAGCCCTACTTTGGTGTGGGTTCCGGACTGCCAACCGGATGGGGTAGCTCCCTGAACCAGGTTTCCGTCATGGAATGGTCTCCTACCGGCGTTGGCTACAACTTGCGCCCCGTCCTTTCTGTTCTTCTCACCAATGGATCTGTCATGATATATGGCCAAGAGGGCTCTGCCGTCACCGACATCAGTGTTCGCAAGCGCAGCTTCGATGCCTGGAGGGTTCTCTGGGGCATCGGCGGCGTCCTACCCCTCCCGGACCGCAAGGTCAAAGACGGCAGCCACTTGGCAGGGGACAAGATCAAGTCCTTCTCCTGGGCTCACAAGATCGCCCCTGGCCGCGCCCTCATCGCATATCTCAACGACCGGGACGAAATCATCATCGTCACTGTGGAGTTCTTCGACAATCCCAAGATCAGGAAGGGGCCTACCTTGGCTTGGAGGGTAGAGGAGGTTGCTCGCTTCCCGAATGACAGCCCCCACCCCAAGATGAGTGTGAGGACAAGATGTACTAGGCCGTTGCGACCTTGACTGACGAGGTGGCAGATCATGGACCCTGACTTTGTCCACTCTGGCTCGGCGTTTTCCATCAAATGGAGTCCGTGGGCTGTCATTCGGCGATAAACGCGGTCGCCGTCATCGCCTCGGATCAGCGCAGCTACCTTGGTTCCGCAAAGTCACCATTCCTGCCGACTGGATCCGTGGTGAGAGGGCTGCCGTCACTGTCGACGAGACAGACTTGCTGGGCATATGCACTAATTTAATGACCCGATGCTTTCGTTGAGTGGGAGAACGGCGTCTGGACGGACGGCGATGACAAAATCTGCCGCGGCGTTGTCGCTTCACCTTTCGATGCAAAACCCTTCCAAGTCATCCTCAACTCCCCTGCAGCTCCTGCACAACAGCAGCACTCGCCCGCTATATGCAATACTCTTTACCCAGAGAACTCTCCAAAACGAGGGAAACCCTGCCACCGGTATGTTTCGTGAAGTCATCACCGCCTCGATCCCTAGCTGACATTGCTTAGGCATCATCATCCACCCACCCAACACCGTGGACAGAACCCCAGCCCCCGTTTACTCGCTCGTCCGCCTCGTCGCGTCCGCGACCAACGACAACTGGTATCAAACCACTGCACCCTCACCCTCCGATTCAGCCCTCGAAGACCAGGTGACCGTGCCCCAATGGGCCAGCACCGTCGACGACATCATCTCCCTCTCTGTTCCCGTCGCCATGGCCACCCAAAACGCCGACTCAGACAGCGAGGCCGGGGGCCCCGAGTCAGACTCGGATGACGACTTTGAGATGCCCACCAACGCCGGCGAGCAGGTCAACCCCTGGCGCATCCGGATCTGGGGCCTCGCGGCCTCCCCCGGTGGCGGCATGCATGCCGCCATGGTCTCCCAGCAGAGCGCCCTCGGGCCCGAGCCCAAGGTTAAATCTAAGATTCTCTGGGGCTTCAAGCCGCGCCTGGCTGCGGGCATCGAGACCGCCAGTGAGGGCCAGGACGAGCCCTCCAGCGCGGTGCAGATGACAACCGAGGGCAAGATGTGGGAGTGGATGTACGGTGGCGGCCCACCCGTGCGCGGCGCCGTGGGCTGGGCGGCCGAGTACAAGCCCAAGGGCGATGAGGCGCTGCGCGAGCAGCTGAGGAGTGTGCTCCAAGCGCAGGTCTGTGGGTTCTTGCAAGGCCGGTCTGAGGGATGCTGGCCGGTACACTGTTTGCGACAATGGCCATACGTTTGGTAAGAACCGCTCCTTCGTATCGTCCTCCCATGGGGATCGTGAGAAAGGAGGATGTGCTGATCATGACGTATAGCTACTTGCACAGCCAGCGGTCTAGCCATCCTAGCCCCCGGTATCTCTCGTGCGTGCGGTGTCTGCGGCCGTCGCTGCCTTGCTGCTGAACAGATTACCAGGATTGCAGAGACACACGGTGTCGAGGCCGTGGTAGATCCATCTGCCGTGGAGTTGTGTGGAGGCTGTGGCGGTAAGTTCATTGCGTAGGAGATCGGGAATTCCGAGTCCAGGTTGGCGTTCAGGTAAGGGGGCCATGGCTAGGCTGTATGAAGGGATTGTGGTCCATGTTTTGCTATACTCCCATGAGACCAGACAACGCAGTCGAACGAGCAGGTAGAGCACAGATGTGCTGTGTGGCACATGGGCAAGCCAGGCTAGAAACCTGCCAACCAACAGAGTGAATGATGTACGTTGTTCCGAACGACGCGGACTCGTACTCTCAATTTCTACAGCATCTCCGTGGCAAGCTGGAGCGCTACCGGATGCCTGCCTACCAACCAGCAACTTCACTGTTGGGGGTCTGTTTTCTTTGTCAATCCATAACGTCTTCTCCATGGAGTGTCTCCCTTTCTTAGAGGCAGACACATCTGGACTGGGGTTGCAGGTTGAGTGTTGCGGAGAGCCACTCCAAGGCGCACAAATCGCAGGCAGCGTCAACGTAACTTATATCGCTGTAGGCAGAATGCAGATAGGCAGCAATGAACCTGGTGCATCAATCGACACAGCGGCTAAGTGAGGGCCAACCCCACACGACCAGGATCACAGGCCTAAGGCACCAATGGGAAGGAGCCGTCGCGGTCCGTGTTTTCAGGGACCCTGAAGAAGTCGCGACTTGGGAATGTTTACTCTGGTCCCAGATCGGAACGTCAACATCGAGGATTTGTTGCTAGCACAACACGTACGCCGTCCTCCTTCATCCCACCATCCCACCTCCTTGACGCCCTCCGACCTCATATGTGAGCACGACACCCGCCATCGTGGCATCCGCTCTCTTTCCCCTCTCCTTCGTACGGTCCTTTGCGTCCACTGCAAGGCGCCACCTGTTCCCCCCTTTTGCCATTGTACATCACTGTCAACCTATTGCTCGCCCCTCCTTGTCAGTACACCACTTGCATCACGACGCCTCGCGCGCCGGGTCTACACCACTGTACAAGATGGATTTCTCGGACGAGTCAATGTTCAGCGCGCAGGAGGAGTCGGATGCCTTTTCTCCCGAACCTGTAAGTGCCTCCACTCCCCCTCTCTCTGGTCCAACGTCCCCTTCCTTCGCATGTCAGTTCGCGACCCATGGCCAGAGCATGAATGCGCGGACCGCCCTTACGATGACTCTGTGCCTGCCTTGCCACCACAATCGCATCTGTTCCTTCCCTTTCGTGCGCCCCCCCTTGCCAACCGCGATCACACCAATCCACGCCCTCTTCGTCTTTGTCGTACAAGTCTCTCTCGAATCCACCAACTGCCTCTCAACCACCCCTCCTCCAGCTGTTGACATGTCTATGCTACCGTCCCCTCGTCCAATACCCCCTCACCCATCACTTCTGAACACAACAGCTTCTAGTTCTACAGCTAACCCTGCCCAGAAGCCCAAGGCAGCCAAGGCTCCGGCGAAGAAGGCCCCGGCGGCCAAGAAGCCTGCAGCCAAAAAGTTGACCCAGACGACCCTCAAGACGGCCGCAGCACCGAAGAAACGCCCAGTGTCATTCAGCGATGATGAAGCCTCCGGGCTCTCCAACACCCCTCCCAGCTCGAAGAAGTTGAAGAAGGCCCCGGCTGCCAGCAAGTCGAGCGGCAACCCGCTTGCCGAGATTGAAAACGACAGCATGGCGCTCGATGAGCCCAGCGCCCCCGCGCCTGCGGTCAAGGGCACAAAGAAGACGGTAGAAGAAACGTACCAGAAGCTCACGCAACTCGAGCACATCGTCAAGCGTCCCGATACCTACATCGGCTCCGTTGAGCGTACCGAAATGCCCATGTGGGTCTACAACAAGGAAACCCAGTTGATGGAATTCCGGAAGGTCACCACGGTTCCCGGCCTTTACAAAATCTTTGACGAAATTCTCGTCAACGCTGCGGATATCAAAGTCCGTCGCGAGGAAAGCGGCGAAGAACCTGTCACACACATCAAGGTGAACATTGACCGCGAAGCCGGTCAAATCAGCATCGAAAACAACGGCAAGGGTATTCCTGTCGAGATGCATAAGCAACATGGTATCTATGTGCCTGAGATGATCTTCGGTCATCTCCTCACAGGATCCAACTACGATGACGACGAGAAGAAGACAACTGGTGG